GCAACCATTAGTGTTCTGGGTCTCCCAATGCACCTTGAGGAGTGTGCCCCGGTGCCAGGATGTGAGCCCTGGACATGGCACTCTCTGCAGGGGGAAATGAAGTATTAATGGAAGGGGTGCCCGTTTGTTACGCACTGGTGGGGTGTCTGGTTCAGGAGCAACAAATACAGGATTCAGGTGAAGGATCAGGCTCAGCAGTTGAACAGGCCTGTGGAAGGCTGAATTCTGAGGCCAAGGATTTATCATGTGACCTGACAGCCATTCTTGTTACTGCCAGGCCAGGCTGGGGTGGTTGCATGTGCGGTTGGCATCATGTTTAATTGAAGTGGTGTTTTATCCCAGGAAAGCAGTCAGGAGGGCCTGGAGGAGTCTTGTGCAACTCCACCTTGTCCATTTACCCAGAGACCTAAGCGCGGGATAGTCTCTACTGTGCATTGCTGGGTGCTTTGTCTGGTCTCATTTAAATGGCTCAAGTCCTGGGGCTCCCGCTTCCCTCGGGGGATTGTTCCCCAGGTCCCTGGATCTCCCTGACAGGAAGGAAGATTTTCCTGATATTCAGCCTAAATGTTCCCTTTCTTCATTTCATCCCACTTCTCCTTGGTCTAGCCCTGAGCCCTAACCTGATTAATTTCTGCCCCCCTGGTATTTATCCCCGTCACGTGTGCACAGATCACATTCCCCACCCCATGTGAAGTCATTTAGCTAAGATCTGCAAATCTAGTTTTTCACTCTTCCTGCAGTCCCTCTATTTTTGTTGCTTCTTCTCAGAGCTCCCTCCCACTTGTCTGTGTTTATCTAGTTTTGGGAGGTCCCGATTTGAATGCGATATTCCAGTGGCAGTTGAACCAGAGCCACAGAGAACCACCGACCTGTCCCCTACCTGGTCTGTGACGTGATGCCTCCAGGCCTTTCCCTGGGCTGGTCACACTTACATTTCCTCTAATTGCTATCTGCTCTCACCCTGTATTCTCACGCCAGGGTCTCTCTCCCTCTGATTACAGCCTTGCACCGGGGGATTCACTCATGTTTGTCACAATGGATCTCGTTCTGTTTCCTGGCCCTGTTTCTGGTCTCTCTGTTGCTCTTGCCTCCCACGCTGTGCCGTCTGCACCAACATTCTCTGTGTGTGCCTGGGAAAGGGCTGTGGCATGGGCAGGGGCTGTTGTGCTTGTGCGGTTGGGGGTGTTTTGGAGGGTGGGAGGGGCGCATGCATCGATCCAGGCACAGCGGAAGTTAGTGCTGTGTTAGGTCTTAGTGACATTGCTGCAAACTCCACCCAGGACCCTCCTTCACTGAGCTGTACTCAGGAATAATCCTCAGGCTTGGCACTTTTTGACCATAGATCCCCCCCACCCCAAAGCTCCCCACCTTTGTAAGTATGTTGGTCCCCATTTTACAGGTGGAAAACTGAGGCACAGAAGTTAAGTGACTTGCCCTACATCACAGAGTGAGTCGGTGGCAAAGCTAGGGATAGAAACCAGGACTCCTGTGTTCCAGTTCCTTCCCTTTTCCATTATGGCCTTATTGTTGTGGCACTACCAAGGCACCGAGATACATTTCCCAGCCTGGCTGAACTGACTCTCAGTGCAGGGTAATGACATCACGGGGAACTGACTGTCTGGCTTGAAAACAATCCCAACCATTTCCAATCTCAGGCCTGGGCCATGAAGGGGAAGCTGCCTCTGGCCCTCCATGACATGCCTGTGATCAGGACCTGAGGTTTCCCTTTCCGAGTTTCGGGTGGCCGGCCAAGTGCCTCATCTGTCTCTTCAAGTCCCGCTCCCCAGCTCAGCTGCGCTCTCCTCCAGGAGTTGTTCCTGAAGGGGTAGGGCCGTCTTCAAGGGTGGATCAGGGAGCAAAGATCAGCCTGATGAACTTGACAAATGATTACGTGATAATTAATGTTGGGAAACAACATAAGGATAATTAAGCCCTAAATTCATCTCCCTCTTCTCTCCATGCTTCTAAGGGGGGCTCCGTGTCCTGCCATGGGGAGAGAGACTGGCACCATGTCCAGTGTGGGCATAGGGGATTTTTAAAGCCTTTTGCAGAAGGGGGAGTTGCTGTCTCTTTAAGGGGTCAAAGTTCAGCACTTTTGGCAGTGACTGAGCCTGGGTAACCTTGGCCGGCTGGCACTGGCCAAGCACCCAGGAAATTCTGCAACTCAATTGGCTCGCCTGCTTGGCACTGGCAGGGTGTTTGCTTTGTAGCTCCGGGGAAAGTTCAAATTCCCTGGTGATAGCAGATGCACCCCTCTGTGCACCTCTCTCCTGTCTGCCTGACACCCCACCCCCAACTCCACAGCCCTTGATGGGCACTCCGGTGAGCAGGTGGCACTCGCACCATTGGCACAGGAGCTGCCCCAGAGTGTAACCCCACTGCACGGGTCCCACCGGATTTGCACTGCCGCTGGCCATTTGCTCCTCCCTAGTGCACCTGCCCTTTCTCAGCCAGGGCCCCAGCTTATCACACCCTGGGCCAGGAAAGGCCCAGACAGAGCTGGGGGCGGCCATAAGCTGTTTGCTTTCTCACTGTCTTTTGTTCTTGTGTTGGGAGGAGCAGCATGGAACATGGAGAGACCCCACCACCCCTTCCCTAGTGTGTTCATAGAGAGTGAGGTGGGGGTCCCAACTGTACATTATAACCTCCCCCTCCCCATAGCAGGGGCAATGGTGACAGACCATCCTAGGGGCTCACAGGCAGACACCTCACTGTGCCAGGACTGGGCAGCACCTCTGAGGAGGGGGAATCACAGGGAGCAGCCCCACCATGCAGCCAGCGGAGACTGAGCAGCGCTAGTGTGCCCGGCCTTCCAGGAGCTCTGTATGCTGGAGCCTCAGAAATCCCAGGGGTCTCCTGGCCTCCCTCCAGGAAGGGGTTCTAGACATATGTGGTTCTTGAAGGATCCTGTCGCACACTCTGTCAGTGACACAGCCGATGGCCCTGGGGACGCTATGGAGAACTGACCATAGACACCATAGGCCAGGTGTTCAGAAGGACACAGCATGGTGGGTGCACGCTGGATGCTGAGCTCTTCTGAAACTCGGCTCCAGGAGCCTAGGTCACAGGAAATAGATTTCAGGGGAGATCATGCAGGAGGAGAGTTTCGTAGATTTGAATGGACAAAGAGAGAGCTGCAGGAGCAGCCTGCCTCAGGGCTCCCATCTTAGTGTATCTGGCGGGACAGACTTTGCTCCCATGACATTCCCATAGAGACACACCAGGATGGTGCCTTCTCAGGCCCCGTCAGGGCACTGCACGTGGGGGCAACTCTAGAAAGCTAGGGGGATGCTGGGAACAGCAGGGTGTGTTGTATAAAGAGAGGATCCACGCCTCCTGCTTCTACATCCTGTGCATAGGAGTCGTCTCTGGAGAAACCGAGCTCCACCCCCAAGAAATGGCTGTAGAATTCCTGCTGCAATGCCAGACAAAACATAGCCTCTCTTGCAAGGGACCTTTCCTGGGCTTGTCCCCAGAATCCTGAATGACATCCAGAAGCTAAAAGAATTCCAGTTCAGATCCCTGGCATCACGTGCTCACTGCAGCTCACTCTATTTAGGATGGGCACTAGCTGATTTTCCAGGGGAACTCTAAACTGCAGCCAGTGCAGTGACCCAGCCAGGAGCTAGACAAGGCAATGGAGAGCAGCAGAGTGGGCAAAGTGTCAGTCCGCTGGGCAGCTAGTGCTGGGAAGGAGCTATGGGGCACTGCTGCTAAGTGATAATCCAGGAGCAGACAGGGATCCACTAAGACCCGATAGGGGTGAACTCTTCAGGCAAAGGGCAGCACAACAGCACAACGGGGATGCTGCGAGGTTGGCCCCAGCCAGCTCTGAGTCTCCGAGGCTGGGGGAGGAGAAACACAACAAATTGCAGGCTCCCAAGGCAGGGGCTGCAGAGCTGAGCAGCAACAGCCCCAGGCACTCTGCTGCCCATAGACCTCAGACTCTCCTCGCAGCCAGGGGTTCACATGGCCAAGGAGCAGCTGCTCTGAGCCCTCTGGTGGGAGGAGCAAAAAGCCATTGAGGGGCCAGGCCTGTGACTGGGACGGTTGATGTGTTTAAAGAGCCCTGGCCCCAGCTGTCCCATACCCCAGCCCTGAAGCCTGCCCTGCCCCAGCTGTCCCATACCCCCAGCCCTGAAGCCTGCCCCTCCCTGGGCCTTGGCAAACTCTTGCTGTGCACAAGCAGCCTGGAAGCCCCTGACTGAAGTTACACTTGGGGTAACTGCCCTGAACTCTGCTACCAGACATGGTCTCCCAGGGCAGTGGCCGCCCAGCTGCTCTCTGGGCTGGAAGGAGATGTGCTCTCCTGAGCCCAGGTGCATGGATTAGTGTAATGAGGCTGCCAGCACCGCAGGCCCATTAGGGGCACACAGCTACCACAACAAGCTGTAAAACAAACACTGCTGCCTCTGGGAGCCTGGATACGGGGAGAGAGGGTGCAGGCCAGGCCCTGAGAGCAGGGAGGGGAAGAGAAGGGAGGCAGAGAGCAGGCCTAGACCCAGGGGAGGCGGAGATGAGGGGGAGCTTTTGAAAAATCCTATCTGCAGATCACCACCAATGGAGTTGCACAGACCTTGGCAGCACTGAATGTGACACAGCCCAGTACTGTGTTCAGCCCCAGAGCAGTATGCAATCTCCGGCTGCCCTGTAGTTTCCTTTGGCTATGTACCCACATTATGCAGTAGTGTACATGGAAGCTGTTAACAGCTGTCCTGCCCCACCCGGAAGTGGCTGCATTTCAGGGCCGGAGGAGGCGATACTATTCATCCCTTACCCAACTCCCAGGATTTATGAGGCACCATTACTGCTGGTTTATAAAGCCCTGGGAACTCCTCTGATGGACAGTGCTGCTAGGACCAGCCATCTCCCATCATAGAATCATAGAATCTCAAGGTTGGAAGGACCTCAGGAGGTATCTAGTCCAACCCCCTGCTCAAAGTAGAACCAATTCCCAACTAAACCAATCTCACCCCATCCCTCTCCTGTGTATGTTTCAGTGGGAAGCTGGTGTCTCCGAAATGGAAGAATTTCAAGGGTCTGAGGCTGCTTTGCAGGGATAAAATCCGCCTCAACAATGCTATCTGGAGAGCCTGGTACATCCAATGTGAGTACACAGCCCAGCTGCCCTGCGGCTGGGCCCTGAATCCTCCCTGTGCAGGCAAACCTATGGCTCCGAGAGCCTGGCCCTCGTCTGGGGGTCCAGGGGGAATGACTCTGGGAGGGGGAGAATTCTCTCCCATGGTAGGGGAGGGGCAGCTATTCACCCTGAGGAGGGACTCAGAGGGGGTGAGTGACTGAGTGAAAAGGGCAAGTCCTCTCCCTGGATGAGGTGAGGGAGGGGGCAAGTCCTGTCCCCAGGTGGGGACAAGGCCTGTCCCTGGATGGCGTGGAGAGGGGCAACTAGACCCTGACTCTAGCCTCTTGTGGGCAGATGTGGAGCGGAGGAAGAGCCCCGTGTGTGGGTTTGTGACCCCCCTGGAGGGCTCCGAGGCGGAAGAGCACCGGAAACCCGAGGTACGTACACAAGCGCTCTTCCCAGCCACATTGGTGGGGGGTGGGGGAATAGATCTGGAGCTGCTTGTTGGGGTCTGGGCTGAGGGTCTCTACTGGTTTGGCTCTGACAGGCTGGGGGCAGTGATGGGGTGGTGGGAGTTGTTTCTGCAGTTCCCAGGGTCCAGTATTCAATGGCTTCTCTTTTGGCTGAGGAAAGCCAGCCCTGAGGCCAAGCGCCCAGATGGGAGCCACATTGCACTCCCACAGCTGGGGAAGGGGATATGTATGTGTCAGGCCTCTGCCAGCAGGGGTCGCTGTGGGGAGGGGGCAGGAGCGCTGGCTGTGGGGGGAGCTCCCAGCTACACCAGCCCAGCCTCTCCCAGCAGGGGTCGCTGTGGGGAGGGGGCAGGAGCGCTGGCTGTGGGGGGAGCTCCCAGCTACACCAGCCCAGCCTCTCCCAGCAGGGGTCGCTGTGGGGAGGGGGCAGGAGCGCTGGCTGTGGGGGGAGCTCCCAGCTACGCCAGCCCAGCCT